GGTTGAAGATAAAACACTTTCTCATTGCTGAATTCCAACCGTCAGATTATGAGCAATTCCTATTTTTGCAATTTCATCATTGTGTTTAGTGTAATCGGACTGTTCATGATTATCATGTTCAGTTCTTATGTTTATTAGCTAGAAACAATGTGTTGAAATCCAAGGGTTAGATTGTTTCAAGATTTTGGATGGATTGAATCACAATATGCATGAAAAGATTGGCATTCAGCCCATACCTACACTATCAGATGTGCACAACCTGACCTTTAAGGTTGAATTGAATTTAGCTAAAAATCGAGCACCTGAAGTGAAAAGTTGCATAGAAATTTTCACTCGAATAGATCTAATACAAAAGAGAGTTAAAGGGACAACCAAAAGGCATAAGGAGTTAGGTACCATGAACACAAAAAGCCAATGGTAAATGAACATGAGGTGCCTAAAAGGCAACCCACGAGGCAACCTTAACCTAACAACACGAAGTTCCCTAACCTGTATGCAAAATTCATGGGGGACAAGTGTAATAAGTGTGAAAAGTTGGGACATACCTCTAATAATTGCCCTGACCAAAGGCAAATAAATCTGGTAGAACATGCTGCCGTTATTGATATAAAGGCGTAAAAGACTACGTATGTGAAGCAGAATCCAAAGAAAATGAGAAGACGAGGAGTTCGAGGTTTCCATGTACGTGATTTGTAAGATGCTATAGATATCGAAACAGGAGGAGGAGACACAACATCACAAACTCTTTCAAAATAGGTGTTGCATTTCCAATAAGTTTCTTGATGTGGTTATTGATAGTGATAGTTTTGAAAATATTATATTTAGACAACTTGTTAAGAAGCTTCAATTACCTGTTGAAAAACACCTTGAACCCTACAAAATGGATTAGATTAAAGAGGTAGAAACTATTAAGGTGGTAGATAGGTGTAAAGTACGTTTATCTATCAGCCAATAGTCTAATCTTGTCATGTGTGATACGGTAAATATATATGAATGTTTGCCAATTATTGTTAGGACGTCCTTGATAGTATGAAGTTGATGCTAGCTTTATGTGTAGAAAATGTCCATAAATCTATGAAGGATAATAAAAAGGATCACTTTGGTCCCTAAAAACCAAAGTGAACATTCTAAACATGTGAAGGAAGCCAATGATAGCAAGGAGATGCTTATTGCTACCAATACAAGTTGAATTCATTGCCAATATCAAGGAGCCGTAGGAGGTGACAATGAGCCATAAAGTCATGAGATTGATGTCCTTCATGAGATTTATGAGGATGATGACGATTTCAAGAAGCTATGGCTTGCTTGTAAGATCAAAAGAACACGGAATGACTTTCACATCTATGATGGTTATCTTTTCAAAAGTAATTGGTTTTGCATTCTTTATGTCTCTTTGCATGAGAAACTAATACGGGATTTGCATGGTGGTGGTTTTAGTGGATATTTGGGTATGGCTAAAACTACTTCTAACCTGGAGTCACATCATTGTTGATCATAGTGAAAGCATGATATGTGTGAGTATGCATGGAAGTGCAAAGCTAATCAGGTAGCAAAAAGCAAATCGCAAAATACTAATTTATTTGCTCATTTGCTGGTTCATGAGGGGATTTGGGAGAACTTGCCCAATGATTTCATTGTTAGACTATCTCGTACTCAAAGAAAGGTGGATGGGTTTTCTAAAATAGTGCATGTTATTCCATACCGCAAGATTTCAAATGCTTTACATATTGCACGCCTTTTTTTGCTGAAGTGGTTCGCTTGCATGGAGTACCCAAGTCTATCACGTCCAACAGAGACACCAAATTTTTTAGTCATTTTTGGGTCGCTTTGTGGAAGATATTTGACACATCATTGAACTTCAGCAGTACTGGTCATTCCACAAATGGATAGCAAAATGGAGGTGGTCAAGCATAATTTGAGGAATTTGGTGTGTTGTATTTGTTTCTCAAAGGGAGTTTGCATTCAATAGTGTTGTACATAGTTCTATTGGAAGATCACCATTTTCTATTGTGTACGTTCAACAGTTTAAACATGCAGTGAATCTTGTGAAGTTACCTAATATTTTAGGGTGTAGTGTTGCAATGGGGAAACATAGCTAAAAATGCCCAAACAATTTAGATAGAGATGCGAGGTAAGTTGGAATCTAGAAATGTCAAATTCAAAGCAGCAACAGATAAATTTTGTCGGATTGCAGTGTTTGATGTAAGTCATGAAATGATTTTTTTTTTGTGAAAAAAGTGATTTCCTATAGGCAAGTATCACAAGTTACAGCCAAGAAAGTATGAGCCATACAAGATTCTACAAAGGGTAAATTCAAACGCTTATGTGATTGATTTACCTAATTCTATAAGCATCTTAAAAATTTTTAATCCTGTGAATTTATCTTTGTATCATTCACCTTCAGATGTTCATTTGTATCCAGATTTGCACGATAACTTGGGGTCGAGTTTTTCTCAGGTGAGAGGGACTGATGTGGACCATGTGGCTGACAAATTTTTAAAGAAGAGAGATCACATGAAGAAAACACGTTTCCGTATCAATTTGGCTTCCAGTTCAATATAGCCAAAATCTCTTTAGCGAAAATTGCACTTTACTTGGGCCTGGATTCCATCATATTGAGGTTCAATCAACTGTTAAAGGGATTCATGTTATGGAGCATGCTCTTAGTAATCTAAAAAGTTTTTAATGGAGTATGGATATTTAGGGAATGTATTAATAGTGATGCAAGTGAATCCACTTTTGGCTTAGAGCAAGTTGGAGTATCAATGTGCTACCTAAACTAAGCAACGATTTTTTGGTCATCAAGACATGTGAAACCTTTACTGAACCAGTTGTTGACAAGTTACTCCAGCAAGACAGCAGAGCTTGATTAGGGACTAGTTTTCTTGAAGATATATTGGCATTATTTTCGAGCAGACTAGTGTAGTTTGTCATATGCAAATAAAAAAAAAGACGTACTAAGTCACAGTGTTGCATTATTTGCAACAAAACTTAGGAAAGACGTTAGATGAAAGAATGATCTTCTCTTGTGGTTAGTTGAATTATCACAGGCTGACTTGGACAGTTGCCCATCGTACTATAAAAGATTTTTGGTGATTAATAGAATGTTGTCGCTTTGGACCGTGCGACGTGGAAGCCACATCTCATTTTCTCCTTGAGTGAAATTGGGAGTAGTTGGCCATCAGGAGAGTTTTAAAACTCAGACTCTCCTTGAGTGTAAGTCAACAGATCGAATTCCTTGGTTTGTATTCTTGTCCAAAATTTCCTCAAAATTTCATCAACGGGTGCAAAAGGTACCAATCCAGTCTGGTAGCGGGGCTGCATTCTTGTTCAAGATTTCCTGCAAATTTCATCAACGGGTGTAAAAAACACCCATCTGGTTTGGTCTGGTGACGATTCAGTCATTTCTGAATTTCCTATTCATCCCCTTGGATCCACTCATTCTTGTCTAAGAAATGGCTACATTCTTCTCCAAGATTTTTTGAAAATTTCACCAATGGGTGCAAAAGGCTGATCCGGTGGCGATTCCATCCCCTCTGAATTTCCTATTGACCCCCTTGAATCTACCCCTCTCCCTTAGTGTAGAGTAGGAATAGGTGTAAAATAAAATTTATGGTGTTCGGAAAAAAGAAATCTCTTCTCTTCCTTGAAAAAAAAATCCTCTTCTCATAAAAATAAAACCACCTTCCATTTCCTCTTTTTCCTTCTTTTTTTTCCTGTTTTGCTTCTATTTTTTGTATACAGGATGAAAGTAAAATAGAAATAACTAGATTTGTAGTTAGATTAAGACACAATGTTGAATGGAATTATAGCTTCCCACTTTGGGTTATACAGTAATTAGATGAAGCTATTCATTTATTTATATTGAAGTTGACGTATAGTTATTTAGATTGTAAATAGGAGTTTTTCTTATAAATTAATGGATGAGTAATTTCCTTACAGAAGGCTACATGTTGGAATTTCGGTTGACTTTTCTAGATTGGTAAAAAAAAAAAATCTTCTATTCCTTTTCTATTGTTATTTATTTTAGGGTAAAAAACAAAAAAAAACCCCATATAGTAAGTCTAATACAAAGAAAAGCCCCATATGGTTTTAAAATATACAATACGACACCTCATGCTTTGAACTAAATTGTAAAGATAACGGAATCCGTTAAACTTAACGGAAATGACTTATTGAAATCTAAAAAAAAATTTATACCTAATTTTTATCAAATATACCTATTCTACCCCTTAACCCTCAATTCTCTCTATTTAGAGAATAAAACAAATGATTTTTTTGAGTCGTCTTTTGCTTAATTATATTAGGGCATTTTGGTCAATTCGTTCATTTCCGTTAAGTTTAACGGATTCCGTCACCTTTACAATTAGTTCAAAGCGTGAGGGTCGTGTTGTATATTTTGAAACCATGGGGGATTTTTCTGTGTATTAAGTTTAACACATGGGGTTTTTTTGTTTTTTACCCTTTATTTTAGATTCCCAAGCTAGGCGTAATAGCGGGTAATTCAAAGGCGGGTTCTAATAACACTAGGCAAAACTACGCCTTCATAGTTCGTCACTCCTCAGTAGTATAAAAACCGCGCCATCATCCATCTCGAAGAGTCAATAGAGGCAAAAGTGGAAGCCAGCATCAGTCATCGGCGATCAACAACATGCTAGTTGCTAAGTAAATTCTTTTCTCCTCTTCCTTTCCTCTCATATTAAACTTGCCCAAAAAGATAAAAATTCCCCGCTCCCCCAAAAGAAGAGGCGATTCATTGCTTATAATTAACGCTAATTATTAACTTTGTAGTATTGGACTATAAAGAACTTATATATAAAGTGAGAATGGGTGGTGGAATTTGTTGTTGGTCTTTCGTCGTTCTTCACGTGGAAATCACGTGCACCGTGGTTGTTGACTTGTTGGTCCTGGAATTCTTGTGCCGGTTTTGTTCCCTTTTATTTTCCAAACTACCTGAAACCCTGTGCTAGAAAACGTGTGCTAGAAACCATGTGCTTTTATCTCTCTCTTCCCCCTCAGTCTCTTCTGGTTCTCTTTTCATTTCTTCCTTTTTTTCGTCATTCTCTCTCTTTTTCTTTTCCTTTGTCATCTTCCTCTTCCTCAGGCAACAAGACTAATAAGGTAATCTTTTTTTCTTTGCAGATTTGCGTTAAATTTTTTTTTATTTTTTTGCACTTCTAGAAGACCTCTGTTCTCCATTGTACTCTTCTTCCTCAGATTCATCTCCTGTTTCCCATTCACAAGTTTCTAACTGTTACATGGTTGTTTTTGTTCAAATTTTCTTATTTTGTTCCGTTTTATTGTTATTGAATATTTCTCTTTTATTTTTGTTAGAAAACCCTTATTTTGTTTCTATTATTTTTTTGTGTCTAATGTTTTCCGTTTGTTTTGGCTAGAAGTAAAAAGAAATCCGTGTTATTAATTTATCTTTCATTTTTTATGATGTGTTATATTAATGATATGCCAGTGAACCACAAAATCCATTTGGGTGTTTCTGCCTTCCTGCTCATAAACTTTGACAGTGGAATTAGCACATGAAGAGGTAATACTTTGTCTTTTATATCAGTGCTATTTTTTTTTTTTTGCCCTTGATCTGTCCCCTTTTTTTTTGAAACTCCAAAACTTGGGGTTTTTTAATCTTTACTTTTACTACTACGCCTCTTACTTATCCCATTTTCCCTCTTTATGATTTAAGTTTTAATCAAATTCCATAGCTATTTCTACAATAACTGTAAAGAGACGTTTCCTATATTACTAATTGTTGATGTCATCAAATTGGGTGTTGAAAGCTGAAAATTTTTGCTTAGGTTGGATGGTTGGATGTAGTAGTTACGGGAAATAGGACAATTGAAAATTTAAAAGCATGAATTTTTCACTTTATTGATTGGAGCAAGTTCAATTGAATGTTTCTGAAATTTAGTTGATAATGTGAAAGTTTATGTTAAGCTGGCAGTGGAACTGAATCTAATGAGTTACGATGTTGGAGTAATTGGTGTAATCTGTTTAATCTTTTTTTTGCCTCACTATGTTTATGCTGTGCAATTATTTTTTATTATTCGGATAAATTTCTCAATATTTTATCTGCCTAATTGTTTTAACATTGTGGATGATTGTGTTATTTGATAAATTTCTCCAATGGGGAAGGTTAAGAACCTAGATACTTTCAATTTGGAAATTGGGTGTCTAATAGTTTCTGTGTCGTGTTTTGCAGACATCATGATCGTTATCATCTATCGATAGTTTAAAAGTCGCTGCTTATGCATTGTGAACTTTTTTTTTGGTACATTTGATTTTCTCTTCATTGTTTTCTTCCCTTTTTACTCATCTAAAATTTACTTTTTTTTTGTGATTGCAGGTGGAGAAAGTTGGGCTTTTTCCTCTTCAACATTGCTGCAATACTCTAAGATATGGTATATTTTATTTCATTCACTAATAAAAAGTTTACTTTAATGCACTGTGATTTTTAATATTTTTTAACCAAGTTTTGATTGTGATTTTCCTGGTTATTCATTACTTGAATGCTCTTTCATGAGCTTCCTTTTCCATTCATTAAGGAGAATGCCTGATTTCTTTATTTGCTTTGCAGCTCTATGCCATCAAATGTTGGATCTGTTTTTGATAGTTCTGTGTGTATTTAGTTGCTGGGTTTCCAGCCACAAATGACCAAAAGCATTGTAAGTCATCAAGGATTTCCATTATTTTAGATTATTGTTTCTAAGTGCCTTTTCCTCATGTCTTTGCATAAATTTTGCCTTTTCATTTTTCTTTTGCTAGAGTACAAGTTTTTCATTAAAATTTTGCTAATTTTGTTCTGAGGGGATTGGCTTGTGTATCTGATAGGATGACATTTTGAGGATATAATATAAATTATATTAAAGTTAGTTCACCACCAAAATGGCTTTTCTTCTCTTCTTTCCTGCTATTCAAGAGGTTTTTTTTATTGTCAATGGAGCTTTTTTCTTCCCTTCTTCGTACCTTTTGGCTGGCTTTCATAGTACAGTTTAGTAGTACAAAATGCAATAAATCTCTTGGTAAAACTTCTTAGTTATATATTTCATGAATCTGAACTGTACAAGCTAACCAATTGCTTTCAACCCTATGTCAATTTTCGCTAAATTTTACTGATCTGATTGTTTCAATTTGGATGGTCAAATTTTTTCTTATTGGATGGGATAATCTGAAATTTAGAAATCGTATGCAGGCGTGGAATATACTTGGCAATGGATGGACTAAAATTGTTAGAGTTGTTATAGGCAGGTAACGGGAATTAATTCATGGTAAATGATCTACTTATTTAGTGTTTTAATATTTGCCTTGCGTTAATGCCTAGATGTTTGAACATCCATTTAAGCCATTGGCAATTTGCGATTGATTAAACAAAATCTGTGCAAGCTTAAAAAAATATGTTTGCAACTCCTTTTTTAAGTGCCATGAGTCTCTGATTATTGATTCTGTCTAACCGTATAGAAAAATGGAACTAATAAAATAGCTATATTTGCATTACCAGATTGCTATAAGTAAGAGTAGCATGCTTGAGAAGTCAATGGAATTCCTTCCCTAAGATACTTGCATCTTGTGTCTTACCTGTATATTATAGCATAACTCATCCAAGAATAGTCTACTTCTATGCTGGGGAACATTTATGATGGAGATTACTTTTGATGTCATTTTCTGAAGATAACATAATATTGCCTTTTGCTTATATTTGTCACTCTCAGGTGCTCCAAGAGAGCTCTAACATTTATTTTTGCAGTAAATTATGGGATTGTATTATTGTACCTTTTAGGTTGATTAATGGATGCATCTTACCCTTTTGACCGTTGAACCTTTTTTTGAAATTCCATCAGTTTTTTGAGATGCCTAATGAATCTATTCAAACCGTTTGTTATAATCTAACTGAGCTGGTCAGCTGATAATGTTTCTAAACCTGGAATTTTTTTTAATTTTATTTTTTTAATGTTGTTTCAGAGTTCTTTGAATTGAAAGGATTTTGGCTGGCTTTAGCATCACTTGATAAACAGGACCTTTCTCCAGGCAGCAAGCCTTTTATGATTTTTATGAAGTTGGCAAAATATTAGAACTTACCAGGAATTTTCAATCTCTTGTATTGTGACATGGAGAAGATTATAGTTGCTAAGTGTGATTTATAGTTGTCTTTCTTTTGTGGGTCTTTTATTTTCTCAATTCTTAAAGAGAATCCCTGCCTAAAATAAAGTCTCCATTTTTCCTTTGTTTCCAGCCTTCAAGCATGACAGTGGAAGGGTGCACAAAGAGAAGCACCAAAGATGGTGATAAATCCACACTGGTACAGGCGGTTAACAAAACCTGAGCTGCTTCAATTTTTCAAATTCGCTCGGTTAAAGAACAATTGTTACTCAAATTGATGTTAATTCAGAAATAGTAACTATGATGATATGAAAGCAAGTATTATGATATGAAATAGTTATTAATTAGTAGTTATTGATAAGGCTGCTGGAATTAACTCTCCAGAATTCAAATGCCATGCTTACTTTTTATTTTTTTTGGTACTAACAATATTTGGTGTTTTCTTTCCATCACATTGTTAAGTGGTTATTATTATTTTTAATACTTGCTGATAATGTCACATAAATTAGCTAACTACGTCGAATCCAATGCCAATTTTTTTCTTTTTTTTACTTACAAATTTTGTTATTTTCCTAGGGTTTCAGTTTCTTTATACTAATAATAATATTACTATAGTAGATTATGGAATAGTGCTGTTGTGTTTAATAAATTGTTATTAATTAGTAGTTATTGATAAGGCTGCAGGAATTAAGTTTCCTAAATTCAAACCCCATGCTTACATTGTTTTATACTAACGACATTTTTTCACTTACAGTAATTTTCCCAAAGTTGCTTTTTTTTTTTCAACAATAATAATACTATTATTATAGTAGAATATAAAATTGTGTTGTTACGTTGTTTCTTCCCTTTTTCTTTATTAGTAGCTAATTAATGAAAAATAACGCTGTAGAAATTAAGTATTTCTAGGGAAAGAAAAACACTTGCCGATTTCTTTTTTTTTTAAACTACAGTATTTTCTTTTTTTACAAGGTTGTTGCTTTTTTATAATAATGTTATTATTATAATAGAGTATTCTTTCCCTTTTTTTCCCCTTCTTTTATTCTCTTTTTTTACCCAAAGTTTTCTTTTTCTTTTTAAGTAGTTACTAATTAGTAGCTATTGATGCGGCAGTATGAACTGAGTATCCTGATGCAAGAAAACATAATACTATTCTTCTTTCTGTTATGTGAACAACTAATTAAATACTTTAAAAAGTCTTTATATAATAAGCCGATAGAATGTGGATTTAGTATATAAGGGTGTAAATTTAGTCCTTCCCTTATAGACTTATAGTTCTTTCAAACAAAATTTAGAAATTAAATATAAATCAAATATCCAATTATTCTGACCCACACAATATACATATGTGCATAACCAAATACGCATATTAGTAAATCCAAATATATATTACAAAATAACTAATCCAATTTTTATACCTCATTTCAACAAATGATTTAAAAAGTATCTCTATCCAAAAAATAATATCCACACAGATGAAATTTGCATCCTTTTTAATGAAACTCCTTCTTATCCATTACTATGCCATTCACTCTTTTTTATTATGACACTATAGTACTATACCGCCGTAGTTCCATGTATTAGCCCTAAAAATTTGAAACCCTATTTATTATATATTTAATAATTATACCACCTTAATTGCATTCATTATACATAGGAGTGGAAACGAATCGATCTGCTCCCGAGCCACTCGGTCAACGTTCGAGTCGAGCTCCAGCGGCGCGTTTATAACACGAGTGGAGTTCGAGTCATGTGTACGAAAGCTCGAGTGGCTTGCGAGCCATAGGAAATTACATAAATATCTCTACTTATATAACTAATTACTGAATTAGAAACTAGATAACAATTTCTCCGAGGACCAAGACAGTGGAAGCTAGTTTGTGAGTTGAGGATAGAAAAGAAAAGAAGAGAAATGATAAGTTATGTGAGAAAAGAAAGGATAAAAAAAAAATTTGTAAGCTTCCATCAGTTTTCCTTCACTTTCCGCCCGTTTTGGTCAGAAAATTTTTGCACTGTAGCAGCGCTTAGCTTCTCTTCAAGATCCGTTCGTTTCTTTTCTTTTCCGTCTCACTAAAATCTTCCAAACGTGAAAAGTTCACCTTTCCCTTCCTTTCTTTTCTATTCCTTTGAAATCTGAACTCCCAAACTAGCTAATCACAAACACATCTCCTTCTTCCCACTCGGCTGTTCTGCTGTCCGCATTCTTCTTTCCCCAAATCAAAAGCAAGCCCTAGCCGCTGCTACCACTGTCTTCAAGGCTCAAGCCACTTCTGCCACCACCACTGCCGGCCTTCAATTGAAGAGCCCTTTCTCTCCGACTCGCAGTTTGTTGGCCACTTCTGCCACCACCACTGCCGCCATTTCTCTCCGACTCCCAGTTAGAAGCTACGGTAGGCAAAGCGAACAATCTCCGACTCCCACCACTGCCGCTCTCTCCAACGCCCATTTCATCAGCTCTATTGGTGGAGGGCCTCGCGAACAGGCAAAGCGAACAGGTTGCGCTTTCTCTTCTTCCCTTATTAATTTCCTCTTTCCTGTTAATGGCGACAGAGCTTTCGTTAGAATTAGATCGCCTCTTCTTTCCCATTTCCGTCCCCAATTTCTCTCAATTTATTTAGAATTTATTTGGACTTTCGCATGTATTGAATTGTTTTCTATATCATGATCGGTGAATTAAGATTGTACTGATTATTGATTGGAAGAAGGCTTTCTGTCAATGTACTTTTTTCTCCTTATTTTTTTTTGAATTTGGATCTGTTATTATTATTAGGGACTGTTTTTTGAAGATTGGTAAGAATATTGGGTTTCTTTTCTTAACTTCTTACATACATTTTCATGGAATATACCTTCTGTTTGATTGAAATACTTTTGGTTTGTAGTTTTTGATTGTTCACTTTTTATTTTCTAATTCTGGGGTAATTTTTAGCTTGTCCTGTTAGAATTTTCAAGCCAATTCGAGCTCTTGTCGAGTTGAGTAAATCGAGCCTTATCGAGTCGAACTTGAGCCAACTTCTTACTTATTCGAGTCGAGCTCGAGTGTACAGTAATCGAGCCTGACTCGATAAGTTCAATGTTTGACTCGGCTCGGCTCGTTTGCACCCTTGATTATACAAAACAAAAAAATCCATAAATTACATGAATATCAACTCATTGTGGGCATCACTTAAATTGTTCACCGTGCGCAAGCACGGTGTTCTTCTGCTAGTTACTATATAAACTCGGAATTCTCTTGCAAGGTTGTTGGGTTTATCGCATTTGGGGAGAATCGTCCCTTCAATCAAAATCATGGAGGGGTGGGATCAGACGACGAAATCAACGCTAACCCAGATCCCATTACTGACCACAAAAGCGGGTCCACGTGACGGGGCGGCGTGGACGCAGCGGCTGAAGGAGGAGTACAAGGCGCTGATAGCTTATACCTCGATGAATAAGTCCAATGATAACGATTGGTTTCGGATCTCCGCTGCTAACCCGGAAGGGACCCGGTGGACCGGCAAGTGTTGGTACGTTCACAACCTCCTCAAGTATGAATTCGACCTCCAGTTCGATATCCCGGTAACTTATCCAGCTACAGCTCCCGAACTTGAGCTGCCTCAATTGGATGGCAAAACTCACAAGGTAATTGGACTGAGTTTTTAAAGTAAAGTTCTGATTTTTTAAAATTAATTTGATTGGTTTTGATGATTTTTCTCTTTTTTGATTTATGAAGATGTATAGAGGTGGGAAGATTTGCTTGACAGTGCATTTCAAACCGCTATGGGCAAAGAATTGGTACGTCTTTCGTTTTTATTGGTTTTGATTTGAATGTTTATATCAATTTTCGTTGTTTCATTAGTGAAGTTTGGTCCAAGTTTTTTTTAATTTTGGGTAATTTATGGAATTTGTCTGCTGCATTTGTATTTTTTGGGGAGTTAAATATTAGAAAAATAGTTTCTCAGGAAGTTGACTAGTGGTTTTGATTGATTACAGATGCGATTGCGTTAATTTTGGATTGTATATGTGTTTTTCTTGTGCTTTCTATGGGGGTAATTAGGATAGACGTTGGTTCTAAGGAATTGAAGTAGTATGCTGTATGGTTACTGGAGATAAAATGGCAAACTGTGGTTTTGCAGGGAGTTGTTTAGTAGGTCGGATTAGCAGTGTAGCAGTGTTGATTTTGGGTTATATTTGCTGGTTCTCTGAAAAAATCTTTGGTATCCATGGATAGTGTCCAATGTCAAAAAACCAGTTAGAAATCAATAAGCTTTCCAGTTCTTTTGCTTTAACTTCTGACCATTTACAGCTATTCTCACTCCATTAAGTATGGGCGTACAAAGGTCTGGAGTGACAGTGGTCTCGGTAATCTACTATACTAGTTGTTGGAATTTAGGGGCAAATCCTGAAGAAGGCGAGAGCTAGCTTAGGGGGCCCCCTCCTAAAGTCATGAGAGTTGGTCAGAAAAGCGTGCTCATAGACTATATTGAGGAGTAAGTAAAGGGCTTCCATGACAATGAGATCCTTCTTATCTGGCATGGCTCGGGTTTGCTTTGATGATGGGTAGGCTTCTTGTGCTTTGGCTTGGGCTGTGGGCTTGGGTTAAGGGATGGACTCTGGAGGAGGTGATAAGCTGGATGGTGGATTCCAGATTATTGAGGAGGGAAGAATAAGGGTACTGACTCGCCTGGTGACTAAAATGGAGGTTAAAAGAGCAGTTTTTAGCATGGTTGACTTTGTAAGGTAGTAAGCATGAGAAATGTGGTTCCTTGTGAAGTAAACGAGTGCATTGTTTCATTATTTAATGCAAAGTTATTGATTATATTTGCATATGTTGGGTAAGATGACTGCAGGGAGAAATACGTAAAGCTTTAGATATGCCATAGTGTGATTATCCTTGCTTCATTCATGTATGATGCTGCAATGAAGGTAGTGGGAGAGTCCCACTCTTTTTGAGTGTTGTTGGCAACTTTTAAAATCTGAATTTAGGTTTTTAATCTTAATTTAATTGTGCTTTCATAGATGATGTCACCATAGGTCTTTTTGTTTTTGTATTTTCTCCTCCCCTTTCTTGGTATGGTATTTTTTTTGTGATTTTAGTGGATTTGATCAAGTTACACTTGTTCTTACACGTGTGATGTTCTTGCAGTCCTAGGTTCGGAATAGCTCATGCACTGTGTTTGGGCCTTGCACCATGGCTTGCAGCAGAGATTCCTATACTTGTGGATTCCGGCATGATTAAACACAAAGATGATGCAGCCTCTTCCAGTGAGGTTTAATTACTTAAAATTGTATCCTAGATGAGATAGACTCGCTATACAAGTTTTGGAGCTCTCAGCTTGGCCTAATTAAATAAATGCCATGCTGTATTGAGATTGTTGATGAGGAGTCTTTGGAGATGTACAAGTCAATCATATATGCTAACAGACTGGTTTGAGAGGCTTCATCTGTGTTTTTTTTTTAAATATATTTTTGGTAACATCAATCGTTGTTCTCTTTTTGAAGTTTCTTTAACTTACTTTTACATTTTCATTCACTAGGGGGGGAGGGTTGGGTTGGGTGGTACGGGGGGGGGAGTGTAAGCAAGAGGTCTTGGGTTCAAGTCCTCCCGCTTACACTAAAAAAAAAAAAAACATTTTCATTCACTAAACATTTCCTGCAAATTGTAAATTTGTGATGTTCGAATAGTTGTTTGTAAACTGCGGAATGTATTTCATCTTTCTGTGCTATGGTGATCAAATTATTTGGGTGAGCCATCAAGGTAATTACTAGAAACTACAATCAGGAATTGTTTCTCTAGGGGTACTACTGTTTAAGGAGTTAAGGGAGGAAAGGATCGACAGAACAGCTAGAGTCAGGTCGTATTTTATTGATATTTATCATTATGAATATGAAGACAGCTTCTTGTGATATCTGCTGATTACCAGTAAAGCTGTGATCTGTTTGATATAAATGCTAAAAGTAATTGTCAAGTTCCTTTTATGAGCTTACTTAATCCACTCTGTTTCCTAGCTTTGTGAACCTAAAGCTGAACCTCCCCTAGTCTAGCTGAATGCTTTAGTGCCATTAAACTTTGTGTCCGCAACTCGTCTTAGCTGTTTGATCTTAATTGAGCAAGTCTTTTCTTTTAGATTTGTCTTACAGTCATTGAGAGTGGGACCCTTTTAAAAGTCGAATATTTTAGCTTACCTGCACTATTAAAGCCGGTGAAGGGATTCCTGTCAAGTCTTTGAAGAAACTAGCAAAGAATATGTTGATTGCATGGCCGTATGCTATGCCCTAATCAACAATTTAAAAGGGTAGACAATCAGCCAAAAAGTTGATTTTATTAACAGAGTATGTTTCCTGCCGATGCTTCTAATTTAAGCCTGATAAGATCACAGAATATTTGAGTCAAGTGGTGGTAAAAGTGTTGCTGAACTGATACTTTGCATACAACAATGATGCTGGTTATTTTAGATTACCGGATTAGGAATTTTCGTTTCTAGATTGACTCAGTAGAAGGGATTGTAAGTAGGAGGTCTTGAAACCTATCACTTAAAAAAAAAAAAAAAGGAAGTTTTCCGTGGCTGAAACCATCTTTTCCTGAGCACGTTTCAATGTGAAAAGAGCAGGTTTAATGTACAATTCCTAGCAAATTGGTAGAAGTTCAGCCTCTCAACTCATGAGTCCTTTGTCATGTTAATATACGTCGCAGTTGCTGCCTCCTGCAATGCGCAGCAGGTTGCCGCGTTCAATTTGAGTATTTGTTTGTGATGTCCAGTGCTCCCACCACCGTTTGAATTGCCATTTTTAGGAGTTTTCCATTGCTGATCAGCTTTTCACATTATACTAGTTGTATTGTAGCTGTCCTTAAAGATTCTTTTGACGGGATCAATTTCTCCAGCTTATTATAGGTTGAGTGGGGGGATAATTAATATAGGCCAAGGAAGATTTTGGTACGTAATCTTTGTTCGTCTGCTTGATAGGTACTATGAATTGATTGGGTGAGAACAGTAACGATAAGTACGCTAAATTACAGGCCACGAAATATCGTTCGCTTCAAATAAGTTCCTGTTGAACATTTGAAGATCTTTAATTGAGATTGTGCTGAGTTCAGTGTTCACTGTTGTGAACTTAACGATTAATTAGTTGAATTTAAACTGGGTTTTTTTTTTAATTCTTTTAGTTATTTTTAGTGGAAGTCTACCTAGGGTGACACCGCAAATTCAAAGATTTTGCCACTTTGCGCGAAGTGCCACCACCGGCACAGATTAATTATGACTTTTTTTTTGTTTCGAAAAAATATATACATAACTTGGGCAGTGGTTTGCAACTCTATGAGTAGACGTCATTGGCATCTATTCATAGTTAATTTCAATGGGGTTTTGGAATGATGCAGGGAAAGACATACTTCGTGTGTTGTCTTTACGAATCCAAGGATACTTGGCTCAAGGGCCTGCAAGTGCAAAGCCAAGTTCCTTTTGATTATGGCTTCACAGCTCCGGAGACTCTATTCTCAAGAAAACTTGAGGGCATTCAAGCCCTTGTAATCTTGTTTAATGGAGTAAAATTTTTCGTCATCATCAATATATGGATGAATTACATCACAGAACAAGCTGATAATGTTTCGAGTTTGAAGCGGCCTCGGTTGCAGCTTGATAGATTCACTGGCAGGAATAAAAGCAGGATGGTTGGTAATGACGCGGAGTTCTCTAATCAGTTACACAGATATATGATATATAATCACCGAAACAGACCGTCCTAAACAGAATGCTCTATTATTCCACCAACCATCGAGCACGGCAGTTTTTCCAAATTAGAAATTTGGACCAGCTGCAACAATCTCCTCCATCAGCTTGTTGTCCGCTCCGATCTTGTAGTTTGTGAATACCTCGAAATTTTTCTTGAACAGGCCGCCCAATTTCAGGAGAGTATCCTTGTAGGCCTTCTTGTCAGACCACTGCAATTCAACAAAGAATAAGGTTAATACAACTAGTACTTGCAGCAGGGAAGTGATCAATTACTGGAGGGGAAAATGTCAAATTTACGTCAACTTACTGTGTTCTCAGGATTTAGGATTTCTGAAGGGACCCCTTCAATTTCAGTAGGGATCTCCAACCCAAACACCTCCGCCGTGGTGTAATTTGCTTTCAAAAGGGTTCCAGAGTGTATGGCATCAATTATTTTTCTGGTATAGGCTAATTTTATACGACTCCCGGATCCATAGCTGCAGATAGAGAGAAGGTTTTCCAATCATCAGATTTGCTGATCTATAGTCACTCGTGTAGCTGATATGTATACATCACTCATGGAGCTGAGACATATATGTTAGGGGCTGCATGGTTTTACCTTCCACCTGACCAGCCAGTGTTTACAAGCCATCCAGTTGCTCCATGCTTTTTCATTTTCTCAGCCAACATTGCTGCATACTTGGTTGGGTGAAGCATTATAAATGCTGCACCAAAGCATGCTGAAAATGTTGCAGTAGGCTCCTTTATACCATCCTCTGTTCCTGCTACCTGTTCAGTAATTGCACAGGAGATAAATCAGGACTTTTACCATCTAAAGAGGATGCTCAGACTGTCCTGCCTTAAATGTTGCAATAATTTTATCTAGCTGTAAGAGACTTCAATAAGAAAGAGTTCGTAGCTTCAGTGAATACACACCAGAGCTGTGTAGCCACTGATAAAATGGTACATGGTCTGGGCTAAGTTCAATTTGCTGACAGGGGGGAGTACACCAAAGGCATCGCAGGCCAGAAGGATGACATTCTTGGGATGAGGGCCAACACAGGGTATCTTTGCGTTGGGGATGTATTCTATTGGATAAGCTGCCCGAGTGTTTTCTGCAGTCACAGTAGTTGCAAGGTTAGAACTTGGAATCAAATCCAATTTTTTTTTTTCATCAAATTCAAATACAATTAAATGGAGTTATTTTCGGTTAATAAGGTTATTTTCCACTAGATAGATTGAAGGTTATGCAACTTATTCTCAGCTTGAGGTACTCTTTTGTCACCTGTAACAGATTTATCCGTGTAATCCACCTCTCGATAGTGCTCATCAAAAACAACATTTTCCAGCACTGCAAAGCATTCAAAGGAAACAGAAAGAGAGTCTTAATATTTCCTGCATGATGACTTGGAAAGACAAAAGATTCGTTACTGTGAGACTGAGATAAATACCAGTGCCAAACTTTATGGCATTCCAGATATCAGGCTCCTTTTCCCTCGACAAGTCAATGCACTTGGCATAGCAACCACCCTCAATATTTGACACGCCATTCTCGCTCCAGCAATGCTCATCATCTCCAATCAAGTATCTATTGTGGTCCGTAGACAATGTTGTCTTTCCAGTGCCTGATACATGCAACAGATGAGAGAAAGCAAATAGCGTTAGGGCAGATAAAAAGAATCTGAGACTAGAAGAAGACGCGAAGACAAAGATCAAGAGCAGCATATATCAAAGGACACATGGTGGCTCCCTGCAAGAAGTCATCATCCCCATTCGTTATACCTGACAATCCAAAGAAAAGGGCAACATCTCCGCCTTTTCCGATATTGCAGCCAGAGTGTAGGGAGAGGATCCCGCGCTTAGGCATGAGATAGTGCATTAAGCTGAATAAACCTTTCTTCATTTCCCCAGCATATTGAGTGCCGAGGATGACCATTTCCCTCCTATCAAGATTCATGTCTATGCTAGTGGAGGAAGTCATATAGTGTGTGTAACGGTTACATGGGAATTGCCCGGCATTGTATATTGTGAAGTCCGGAGTACCAAAGTTCTCCAGCTCTTCAGGAGTGGGTCGGATGCACCTGCCACCCACCCAGGTAAATTTATGTACTAAGCTTATTATTCACTTTCTGCGGCTCCACATATTTCCTCAATTCAATTAAACCTTTTGCAAAACAAGACTTTCTCTTTCACCAAAAATGCTTTCTTTCCAGTTGTTATACACACATATCACAGTGCATTGTAATAATCATCCTGACAAACTTGAATGCAGTAGAACAAAATGTTCAGTGTTCTGGAATGGTAACTTACATATTGTGCATGAACAATGAGTGGTAGGCTCTGGCAGAAACAATCCTAACTTTGATGCGGTGGTTAGGATCCCAATTGAGAAATTGATCATTCACATAAACCTGAAAAGCATATGTAGGATATTATCAAGTGTTTTATGTAAACCATCACGAAAACACACTGTATGGCAAAGTTGCGTTATACATATGGACATCACCATAGAACAAATCCTGCAGAAGATGCAATTATGGTTCTTGTGAAGACAAACATCAGCAGCAAACGAATCTTATTGCAAATGCAGAGGGTATCATTAAAACAGTGAATTGATAGCCAAAGCTCTGGTTTTGTTAGATACTTTCTTTAGCCATCATTGCTGAAAAATTACCCAAAAATAACAACCTGCTTGCTAGGACGTGATTGAAATTACAAGCCGATTCAGTTCATA